AGGAAGTGGCGTTGCTGCGCCACTGCGGTTGAAAAAAAAAAATCAGGACGCGAAGACGGAATGTCACGGATCACTGGAACGAAAATGGATGAAATGACGATAGAGGAGGTGAAACGTGAAGACGGAGGGCTGACGTTAGGGTAAGACAGAAGGGTGTTCCTTAGAGGGTGCTCGCGAAGCCGCCTAGTTCGGCGGTAGAGTTTGAATAATGCAGACTTGCACAACGCTGCTTAAAAGTGATCGGTCCACCCCTCCCTCTTCCCGCGTCGCTCCATCCGCCCTCTCTTATCCTCTCTCTTCGCCGATCCCTTTAGAATCTCACTTCCAGTTCGTCTAAGAGGACGAACTAAGATTGATTTTAGATTGGGTGGGAATTGGGAATAGTGAGCCTGTTACTCTGCAGCAAACTCCCCCCTTCGCACTACCCCCCCTTTCCCTTCGCCCTCCTCCTCGTCCTCAATCGTAACCGTCTGACTTTCTTTGCTCTCTTCTGTTTCCACCCAATGTACAACGCACATACGGAATGTGCATTTACATAGCCGGGTGTAATATGTTTGTGTAACTGGAGGAGGCGTTGAGGATGAACAGTACTTGCGTTTTCAGTCGAGATTTATTCCCTCAGCGATTAGAGTGAGAGAACACGGAAGAGAGAAATGCACTTCTTGCCATATTGAGATGGTAGTTTACTAATAGTATTATGTAAAGTTTATATTACAGTGTACATTTCTGCGGTATTGTTTTGATGATTTAAAGCTCATTATTTTTTTCCTATTTTTATGTCACTTTTTTTTCAACTTTTTTATTACATATGTATATGTTACGTTTGGAAAAGTGATTTTGTTTTCGAAGTTGGAATCAAAGTTAAAGATTAGGCATTATTTTTTATTCATTTATATGATTATAATTTAACGAGATTATTGTAAATATATGATTCGTTATCTGAAAAATGCACACTCGACAATTCAATAATGTAAAACTAACTCTTTAAGAGAGAAATCATGGCATCCGATAAAGTGTGTTTTCGTTCGATTATGCTTTACGAGTTTAAAAGAAGTATAAATGCAGCAACTTGTTTGAAAAATATTTGCGATGTGTTTTGAAGTGATACGGTAATAAAACAACGAATATGACAACTTTGATTTAAGAAGTTTTATTTGGACGATTTTATTTTAAGCGATAAATCCTGTTCTGGCAGTTTGTTGGTCTTGAAACAAATAGGACCGATTGTTCCAACTTTTTGGTAGACTTTATCTTCTTGTTACCTAAAATAAATATCAATAAATATCAGTAATTGTCGTTCTATCTGTTGATAAAGTTTATCTACAGATTAAATTGTTATTAGCAAGTGATAATCTTACTCGGCATTCTAATCACCGAGTAAGGATTACTGATAATTATTTTAGGTAAGTGAGAAGTAAAATGTATCAAAAACTTGGAACAACCGACCCATAATGATCCACAGCTAACATCCCGAGGAGCGGCAGAAAGAACGAATGCCGATTACCGAACAATTTTTTAATTATTTTGCACAAGTTTAAAATGTTAAAAAACGAAATTACTTTCCTGCCAACATTTGAGAGCCGCATAATGGATATTAACATTTTTCATCTCGTTGCATTTATTCCGCGTTTGCGGCCATCGTTCGCTTTCACGCTCAATTTACATATTTCGCTGCGCCTATAATCACCACCGGCTCCAATGGAATTACGGAAGGAACGTCCTTTGTGTGGACATGAGTCCGTATATAAAAGCTTGGTCTCTGGACGAGATTTATCCAGCCGATCAACCTTCCCATAGGAATATAAAAGTGCCAAATTAGAGTGGTACAGCGACTGGGCCAGTTCCGTGCCTATATAGGGCACGACGAAAGCCCGCATTGCGGAATGAGAGATCGCCTATCGGGCTATCACTGCTCCCTCTCCTCCGCGATGCCAATTTGCGAGAGATCGCAATTCCAGATGATGCGGGAGCATTTGAATCCGAATAATCATTTAAACTCCCATCGGGATTTAATTCCATGCTGTAACTCGTGTCTTCAGTGACTTTTAATGACTGACACATAATATAACACGACTCATACTTTGTTTTTTGCTATTCTTTGTTTTGAAGAAGTTTCTCTGCAAGTTGCTTGTCAGTAAAGGAAGTTAGTTTGTAATAAAAAATACAATGAACAGTCCACAGCATGTACATTTATTAAACTGCGGTATATTTTGAAATCTTGCTATTCTATAATTATTTTAAATCAAGTGCATTTCATTCGCTGTAGTAAAGTTCTAACAGTTTTTGACAGTTTATATAGTTCCAATTATTCTGATAGAAATAGATTTGACTTGTCTTATAAAGTGTCAATTTTGTTTCTTTGCTTTTAATATATACATATATATATATACATATAATTGCAGCTGTTTCTATTAATTTCCATAGATCTGTCTGTCAGTTTTAACAGATCTCTTTTATTTTAATAATTTATAATATTAAATCTTAATTTTTGGGATAAAATGTGCATAAAAATAGAAGAAAACTGATTTAAGGCAATTAAAATTGTTCAGATATCTACTAAAAATATTCACTGACAAAGAAACCAAAGCGACGCGCGGAAAAAATAAATGTATATATTGATGTATCATTATATCATCGTAAATAGCGATGACATTTGGATTTGCAGGAACGTCGACCGAAACACCGCATTGCAGACACTCTTTCGAGACAATGCCGGAATCGGTACGGCTATTTTTCCACTCACGTAGATATTTATATTTGCGAAATTTATGAATCTGTACAGAAGTATATACGAGAATTTATTTGCATTTCTATATATATTTATTCGGCCATAGATATATATTTTATAACACTTCTTCTAGAATCTAATTTAATTTAATTTTTTATTTATATCTCTTTTTTATTTATGTATTTTATTGCTAACAGATATATATATTATTTCTCTCTTTCTGTTATCTTTTATATATTTATAATTATTAAATACGCAAGTGCTTAAAAATCGTGTCTTTTTCTCGAGATTTATTCGCGATTTTGTCGCACACTCATGACTTTTTACGAGAGAAAACAACGCAGAAATGACGCAATTACTTTTATGAGATCGTTGTTACTTCGCTGCAGCCCCAACATAAGAGCTATTTGATCGCAGATAGAAATCGCCGTGTCTGCGAACCGGAAGAGATCAACGGGATAATAGCCGACGGTTTGCATTTTGAAAATGATTCATGCAGCGTGCAAACGGCGATACTACAACGAACCGACTCTCCACAAGATCGATGCACCAATAATTTCCTGTGACGATCGTAGCTCGTTCGACTTGCCGACATTATTCATCGGACGGAATGCCGAATAAAACAACCGATGGCGGAATCACGTTAAAAGCTTTCTAGCTTTTTCCGCTAAAGCAATTCTACGTTTTCCTCGTTGCCACCTGTACATCATTCTCTCTCTCTCTCCTTCTCTCTCTTTTTCTCTCTTTTCGTATCGTCGTTCTGCCTTTTGCCTCTTATTCGCTGCGGTCCAGTGTTAAAAAGCGTGCGTGAAAGCAGATGTGAAGTGTAAATGTAACGAAAGCGACAGTAGAAGAAAAGTGAACGGATGAAGCGAGAAGAAGCAGCTTGGAAATAAATTCTACGGCGGAGTTCATGGAAAGTGCCGGTAGCTGTTAACGTAACACATCGAAATGCTCTCTCGGCCCTTCTGTGTGTAACACGAGCTGGTACGACGCGAGGAGAACGAGCGAAGGTAGTTCTCGAATAAAAAGGATTAATTGCCCCATCGTTATCCTTTTTCCCGGCGGGAAGCCGATGCGCCGGCTTATTATCAGAAACTTTAGGTAAAGTGTGAGAGCAATCGAGACAAAATCAAGGGAAATATTTTGCACGCCGTTTCAAGAGGTGGTACTTTAACGACCTGCAGCTGATATAACTCTCTCGCAAATTCCAACATTTTTAACTGTTTACGAGGCATCTTGCATGTGAGAATTTTAACTGCCTCAAATGCGGAAATGGTGAAAAAAAAACGTGAATATATTTAGGATGTGACTACAGCCGTTTGTTTCTTTTTATCATTAAATAGCCACGTGTTATTATTTATATTCTCAATTTGTTTCCAAAAACAAAAAATATATATATATTTTTTTTTAATTTCGGTTTTTACAATTCACTTTTAATGTGAGAATTTGACTGAAAACGTAGTCAAATAAAAAAAATATGTTTATAATATTATATGTTAATAAAATGAGATCTTCTCTTTAGTTTTACGCGTTCCATTTTCGTGATTTTTTGGATAGGCCGAAGTCGGCGCACATTTACCATTGATCGTTTACTATAAAATATCAGAACACGAATTTGCTACGACTGCTCTCAGCCCACGAGGCGAAAGTGAATTTTTGAAATCTGCTCGGTTTAGACGCCGAAACGTGCTGAGAATTTCCACAACTGGGTGCTACTCTGGTTAAATTTTTATCACGTTTATTCGTGAATTTATTGGTCGGAATAAGACGATCGATACGCATAGGCGTCACAGTGTCTGAAACGCGTTTTATGTTTCACTGGAACACTATTACAGAAGCTTATTATTGCTGGCAGTCTCGGATGACGCATTTATGGGCGAAATAAAAGTACGACAATAGAGGACAGGGAATTACAACGAGGGCAATGGTGCAGTGCGTTGAGAAACAACTCAAGTCGGCAGAATAATGCCTCCTTCTCCGACAAAGCATCGTTACGGAGGAAAATCGTTTTAAATATGCATTGAATGTCATTGAGATAATTGAGGTCACGTAGAAATGAGAGTACTAATCACTAAGACTTGATGTATTCTGCAAATAAAACGTAAAAATAAGGACGAGAAACTTGGGAATTTCAATAAAAAGACATATTCTATGTAAAATAATTTTATAATTTTATAATTTTGACAGCATGTAATAGTTAAAGTCATTAACCTACTTGTATTGTCAATGTACGACAAATGCTAACCCAACATTTCGTTTTGCGTTCCAGAGTGCTGGCTGGGGAGAATGGTCACCATGGTCGAAGTGGTCGCCATGCACGAGGTGAGTCATTAACTATTAACCTGCGAATATTGCTTTAACGTTGCAAATCTCACAGTTCCACTAAATTTTTTTTTTATTATTAACTAGAGTTAAAAATATTTATTAAAAATGAAAAGAGTTCGCGTTTCATTGTTCAATATTTCGTTCGTGAACTAATAAAGCATTTCTAATAATATATCCGTACACATGCGGGACAAAAGGTCCTATTTTTCGACACAGAGATCGTCGATATTTTCGACGAACGAAATTCCGCGATACACGAAGAATGGCATATTCGCTGCGCTCGTATTGTTTGGTGGCCGTATGACAAAGGGCATCTTCACGGTGATCGGCCCTCTGCATGCAAGGCATGATCCAAACCCACGATTTCTCATCGCCTGTTTCGTGCGGTTCTAATATTGAGTCCCATCGGTAGCACAGCCAGAATGTTAAGCGTTCCGGAACTCATTTTGGCGGCCACCATCGGCAATAAGTTTGTTCTCGACTCACCTCGCTCGTTTTTCAGTTATACGGAAGTGGCTCGAACTGCGAGACGTAGCAATTTATGACACTTACAACTTGCGAACTGCACTCGGTCGGAAAAGCTTATTGTGTGATCTATAGTACTCTACTTATTGATGTTTCCACGCCACCTGCAAATATCTTCGTGAGCTTTCTTCTCTATTATAACTTGCGCGATATCGTGAAAATAACAAAATATGTAATAATAATTATTATTAATGATGTAATTAATCATTATTATCTATTTTAGTAATGCTGTAATAGAAAAAGCTATTACTGTCTATTCTCTTTCAAGTAAATCAATTATAAAATCAATAATATTAGACAATTGAGAATAGATTTATTGTACATTATATTTATTCTATTACACGACAAGAGCAATTAAAAAATTTATTTTTACATATAATATTAGGGCTTTGTAATTATAAAGCTTCGTAATTGAGATTAATCTGCGTATGCATATAACGTATGCCGCGTCGTAATAATTGTTCCAATCAACTAATTGTTTGTGCGTCAATTATTGTTCAAGGCAGATAATTGCTATCCGAATAATGTAATCGATATCAACTTTTCCAAAATTTGGCCCAAATCCTGATCGATTGTGCTTAATAATGATTACTGCTATAATAATCAGCTAATGTGATAATAAATCGTTTTTACGTGAACAAGTAAAAGTGTCCATGAACATACATAATAGACATAGTCGAAACAAAATACTTCATCGATACTTTTTATGTAATTATTTATCTTCTTTGCGTCCGTTTTTTTTAATATTTTACGATCATTCTTTATTCGTTTCGTTTTTTTTTCTATTTCTTAACCTCACTCTTTCTAAAAATTACTTGATGCGGCGTCATAATTGCTTTTTACGAATTATAGTTCTATTTGAAACTTCAGAACGAGTGTTGTTTGTTTACGGAAGAAATAATATAATGGAGCAATTTTACAGATATTTACAGGTCATTTTTTTCAATTTCCACACATTATCAAACGTATAAAACTGGAATAAAATTACAGTCGTGAGTTATAATTCAATTCAACCGAGTCATACTTAATTTTGGCCGTAATAAAATCTCGCGAGTTCGAATTTAACAGAATTTTATAGAGATATTTAAAGTTGTTTAAGTAGAAAAATTCAATTTACGTATAGATATAATTAGCAAGAACACTTTACGTCATAAATGACACTTTCATTTTGCTGGCGAATGTATTTCACACCACTCTCGAGCGGGACCAACTTATACTTGTTGAAGAGTAACGCAATTTTCAGCGAATAAAGATCGCTCATGAAATTAGCGTGAAGTAGTAAATTGAATTAACTAATCGCGTCGCGCCGACGCGCGGTGATGCAATGTAATTAAACTCTTGACGATTTCAGCGTGCCTTGATTATGAAAAGTTTATTGGATAAGCGTGCCTGGGAAAGACATTCGAAAACACAGCTCAAAGTCATTGTATTTAATTTGTTGATAAATTCTCCCTTGTTTTACAGGACGTGCGGTGGCGGAATCTCACGGCAGCAGCGTCGATGCAGGCGTAAACCGTGTAAAGGGAGAGTCTGGACTACCAAGTATAAAATTTGCAATCCTGAGGTGAGTGTTTTCATAAATACCCACCCCAATCGCTTAAGTACTTATAGCGTCTCATCTGACATTTTAAATAGTGACGCAAATATCATTCTCAAAATAACTTCATCCCTGTTGTCTCTATCCCTTTGATATAATAAAATTTATAAATATTTTAGTTAAATTAACTGAAACAACAAATTAACTCTAGAATACTAACTCGTCGTCAAAACAGCGGTTAGTGAATTAACTCCTTCTCGCTCAATTTTGTTTAATTTTGTAGCATTTAATTTTATCAAAATTTGTCTTTTATTAATAATAAAAAATATTTTATCTGCAAATTTTATGTATTTTTTTTATAACGAGTTAATAAAAGGCGACACTTTCTTTATTTTTTAAAAATGAGAGGTATTGATAAAAGCAATTTGAGAAAGAAACATCGTAGAATGATGATAGTCGTTATGCATTAGCATATTTAAAGTGAATATCACCAGTTTACGACGGCACAATTGATTTTTCATTACGCCGATATATAAGATGCAGCTTAGCGAGTCAACTTTTATCTACGAATTTTCTTATCCGATAGAAATATCTTTATCGAGAAGTTGAAATAACATCTCTATATAATCGCGCATCTCTATAGGTAGAAATACACATTTAAATGTGTGTAATTTATAGCCTTAACCGTTCTTGCATATTAATCAAGCATTTAATCGTATTACATTTAACAGTGACATTGCTATTTTACGCTTATCGCGATACGCACTAGTGATTACGAAATATCACGCGGGCATGATGCATCTGCAACAATAATGAGTAATAATGCAAACGGTCGCAGCGATTGCGGATTAAATGACGTTTATTGTTGCAAATCGTTCTTAAATATTTCAATCTGCGTTCGTAATTTGTCGATGCGCCTGCATCAATATTATATCAACTGAGATGTAAATTGGATACATGATAAATTCGATATTGGCGCATAACAGCGTTTCTCGTGTGTGAGCACGTTCTGCACCGCGGCCAATACGCGCACGCTCTGCAGTTATCCGGGATACCCCGACGGGATGCAGGTGACCTGTCCTACATTCGTATCTAGGGCAGGTTTCAGGGAGAATGCGGCTACGTGTTAAACAATCTCACTTTGACGTGCGATTTGCCTGATCGACGTCATCCAATTTGGTATTTTCTACTCGATTGAAATGCGCTATTATTAGTGACGTATTATTTTTTAGCATTGATATAAATCACGAGAATCGAAATGATAATTCGTATCAAGAAGTTTGACGAGTAATTATTGCCAACTCATTAAGTTACACGTGTTTTTAATCGTTTAATCATACTGCAATATATGCAAATAATATCGGTTTTTTTTCCATAATTAGCATGTCAACTCTGAAGTGTATTGTAAATAATTACGCGCATTTCTTGCTTTCGTTTCTTTATTCAGTATTTTTTAATATGAAGTATAATTGTTTCTATACATACTTAGTTTTCAATATAAATTGCTTTCTATTTTGATCTGAATTAACAAGGCAAAGTTGTGATCAAAAAGTACCATCATTTGATATTAATTCTTTGATACTAAATCTATTTAATTTTAGCTATGTGACGAACTCTTTTCATATCATTCGAAATTTCAAATAAATTACACGTCGATCGTGGCTGACGTTAAAATCGATCAGAGATAGCAATGGTTTCATTTTTATGTGATCAGAATGACGTGATGGCGCAGCAACACTTCTTTTCGCGAGTGCATTTGACGATACTGCAGTTCTATGTATCAGTTTCTGCCACACATATCAATCAGCCATTACAAGAACAGCGGTCCGATAATATGTATGTGTGTTAAATTCATTTTCAATCTTACTATCATGAAAATAAAAATATTAATTAGAATATTTGCACATTTAATTTACTCGAGCAAATTATTTAAAATCGTATTTATATATTAAAATTCCATTAAAATATATTACTTTGCACATTATAATAAAAATGAGGTTTTTCATACAATTTCTTCTAAAAAAGAAATATTTTTAATCTCATCACTGTGCACAATAATTAGTAGCATCAACGAACGTTATCACGCTCGCTACTTTTCAGGCCGATTAACACGTTTAATGCGATATCGCTTGACCCAGATTGACGTCGTTAGCCGACTCGCTCAGCATAACAGCGCGAATCTCTCGAGAGATCGTATCCCAAATTCCCGTAAAATCGTGAAGGTGCTAAGCACCGTAGATCCCAGGTGGGGACGCCTTTGTCACCGAGCGGCCACGCGACAGACGCGACGTGACATTTTGCCCGCGGGGCAATGTTCACCGGCATTCTCTTGCGGGGCAAGTACCTACATTCCACTGTGCTTGTGTACGTGCGCGCACACACGCACACACGCACACACGGTACGGAACACGGTATCGGTGGTCTCGTCTCGTCACAAAGCCCTAGCGTCGATCTTAGCGAAATATTTTACTTTTTCTCACCTTTTTTCGCACTACCCCGTCTGCATACGTAACGCGTCATATTTTTCACTTAACCGGACCGAAACGTTTTATTGTTCCCCGTCGACGGCAGTGGACTAAACTTTCCTCACAAACTTACGTTTGCCGGGTAATGTGCAATGGTATTACTGTAGCCAGGACCGCAGTAAGTTATATCGCCGGCAAATGTATAAATTACTGCTCTTTCTTCCTCTCCCTTTATTCGGCTTTGTTTTATTAATACTTACAACAATGGCGACAAATAAAAAATATTGTGCACCGTGTTAATTTTGGCAACAATAATACAGCAATTTAAAAAAAAAATTATGACACATGTATGCTAATAGCCACAATTATATAAAGTCTACGGTGTGACCACATCACATCATTATGTGCATATTTATCACACGTATATATATATATATTGCATAATCATGAATGTATTTTGCGATGCGTATGTGGGATAAACTTGGTGACAAATTCGCTTCTCCGGATTTTAACGCGGTTGCGAAAATGACGCGCGGCGAGAAGAAAAACGCAAATTCCCGGCTTGTCAAATATTCCATTCGCACGATCACGACCGGCGAGAGGTTTGAGCATACTTCGCGATATATTTCTGACTTGCTGCATTAATCTTCCATTATTATGGAAGATTATTCGTACGAAATATGATAGCCTCGTAATTTTCTTATGCTCTGTATACTTGCCTTCTGGATTTTCTGCAGCATGTATACGCTGTAATAACGAAGCTTTTGCAAACACTACCCGTTTACGGATATATTTTTCTCTTGTCTGCTTTGTAATGATCACTAATAACATCAACAATGTAAACCTTATGACTGAGAGGAGCAAAGGAACTTTAATTATCTTGTTTTTAATATCGTCATCCTTTTCTCCGTGAATAAATCCGATTTATTATATTGCAGGAATGAGATTTCTTCTGACATTTTTCCTAAGGTCAGTTGCATTTTCTTATGCGTCAAAATGACATGGATTTTGTTCCGTCCGTGGCATCTCTCATTCAGGCTGATGGACAATTTTCCGTGAGCCATAAGTGCTGGTTCGCTTCTGTGCTTTTATGATGTCACATCCAATCGACAACCATGATTGGTCAATAGCGCGCGACCCTCTGTATAAATGACCGACCGTGATCCTGACAATTCTGATATTATCGGTACCTTGCAGCTATTGCTATCGAAAAGATTTGATTTATTATTACCCGACGCGCAGTAACAATTTCCGCGCGAAAAACGTAGAAATCTTTGAAAAAGCATAGAACAAAAGAGATTACTAATATTATATTGAAAAAAAAGTATGCAAAATTACGTGAAAAATTGACATGAATTCTTTATGAAGCTTAAAATGTATTGGTGTCGAAAAATTTTGTGTGCATAAAATTTTTACATCTAATAATGTCATTTAAAAAAAAAAACAGATTTTTTTATTTTTTATGCACGCAGTTTTTTAAATGTAAAAGTATCGATCAACTTTTATTGAAAATAAAAATAAAATTTTTTACAGAAATATTTAGAAATAATGCAGTTGTATTATAAATCTCTCGCGTACTTTAAACTTGGACCATCATTTGTGCATGATCGTGCGACGACCGCGAGCAATCTGCATGTATCTGGTACTTTATCGTAGATAGATAGGCAAGGTAAAACTTTTAAATCGATCGTCCGCAAATCATGATTGTGATTTATTAGACGATTGGGAAATTGATAGATTTCGTCACGGAACAAGTCTTTTCCAAGGTATTTTCAAAGTAATCGAAAGTTACCACAGCAAATATTAATTGTCCTCGACTCAGAGGGCTTTGCTTAACGGGCGGTCCTTCGGGAGAGGCCGGGGACAATAATTTAACGACGGAACGTTGTAAATTTCAAGTTAAAATCCAACTGGAAGGAATTTACGTCCGCGAAATTCCTTTCCTTTACCTCAACCCTTACTACATTTCTCACCGCTTCTTTCATTTTCTCTCTGCGTACGGCAATAAAAAAAGCGCCATGTGTACACGCGAGCGTGCATACAAATGTGGATTTAAAGATACAGTTCTTCGTAAAGAGCGCCGTATTCACAATTATTCCATTTGTATGTTCAATGTTCTGTTCTGCACGTGTAATAAATGTTGTAAATTTTCACTCATGCAACATAATTACCATTGGATTGCAGTTTTTGGCATGACTTAATTAATTTTACACTTATAATGAAGCGAAAATTACATCGCGTGTATATTCCACATTAATTACCCTCTCTTCTTTTGTGCGCCGTTAAATAAGAAAAAGATTAAACCGTTTTTTCCGCGTTCACATATAATGGGAGATATGATATTATATAACGAGACTTTTTAGTAACAAGTGAATGATCAAAGAAACTTTAGCAAAATTTTTATGGTTATATGCGGAAAGTATATATATATATAAATAGGAGAGGCGTAATGAGCGATCGTCAAAAATTATTTTCCACGGACAGGATATTAAATTACTTGCACAATTTATCCCCTAAGTTTTATTTGTCTTGAAATTCTGCTATTTTTAGTGGATATATAAT